AATTTGCTTAATGAAGCCTCTAGGATGCCTTCTGCCTTATTGCTAATTCACAAAGAATTATGTGACAGTTTGTGTAAGAGTTTGTTGCCTTTTTCGTTCCGTCTGCCGTAGTTCGTATTTGGCCAGGGCAAAAAGCATACAGAGTTTTTGACAGGAAGCTCATGCTTCATTTTTACTACTTCCATCAGAAAGCATGCTCTCGTAACCGAAATAATGGACGTTACGGTTGAAGTGGTGAGCAAGGAAAAAGGATTTCGTTCCGTTTTGCTAAAAGGGTTTTTTACGTTTATTAATATCTTTCTAAACATCGTTTGACTTATTTTTTTTGTTTGCTTTTGGACACTTTGTTTTTTTTTTCGGCCAGATCTTGCTCTAGGCTGGGTTTTTAGCCCCCCGTTTGTTTATTGTCCATTTCACGCTAGCAATTTTTGTAGGTTTACGCTAAATTAGGACTTTCTTATGTTCGTTCGGGCTCAGCTCCAGTCGAGCAACTATTAGTGGCCTCCCTCAAACTCACCCTAGTTAGATGCCAAAAACGGAGGCGGCCTGCTTAAGTTCAAACAACAATAAGGCAGTAATAGTGAATAAAAAGGCGTGCAGTTGCGGGCGGATGAAAAAATTCAAATGTTATGTTAGAAGATAATTGGACGAAAGCTGTCAACTGCATTTGCAGCATCTGTCGGAGAGGACGTGGCATGCGGTGATGGAGACGTGTCTGGCATTCACCGTTTTTCGGGATGACTTTTCACCGCGTTTCGTGATGCAGTTCGTCCTGCTGCTCTTCGTCAAATCGTTTCACTGGCTTAGCGAAGATCGCGTTGACTACATGGAGCGCAGTCCGGTCATCACCATGCTCTTTCACTGCAGGATGATGTGTACGCTTTTAACGAAGTTGTCAGATTTTGTGAGAGCAGTCTGAAGCACCTTATATAGAGGCGGAAAATGGGTAGTATTTGAGAACCGCTTATTATTAAGCTCGCCCGCAACGATTCGTTTTCTCTTACAGAAAGTGATGCCAGAGTTGAAATGCATAAAAACTATATTTAAAAAGTGCAGGGAGTGCATAAATTTTTCTTCAAGCAGATGTAAAATTAGCAGAGCGGGACAGAATTCAACGGGACCGGCACTAAAACTTTACCAAGTAGCTTCAAGTACAGTGGGTAGGTGCAAGAACTTGTCAGGAGCAGCAAAAGAGTTTCCGCTTTGTTCGTTATTTAGATAGCAAAAAGTCAGTGACAGCGAGTGTCGAAAGAGTCGTTTTGGAGTTGATGCGGAAATTGCGGTTCGCACCTGTGCCTTCTGTTTCGTTTGCCGAAACCTGTATTCACCACCTTTGCTTGCTCTCGGCTTGTCTTTGTGAAAATGATTTCTTGGGAACACTGTTTTTAGCTTTGCTCGCTTTCCTGAGTGCAATGGACAGTTATTTCATATCGCATGCATACTTCACAACACTCATTCATGGCGCCTCCGTGCAAATTGTTTTCGGATTTGAGGTTGGTTCTCAGCTGAATTTTACGTTACAGCTGCGCTTACCCACAATGCGATGGCATCTTTTCCGGGCCACAACAGAGTCTTTTTTATAATTGCGGTGGCGCATTGTTTTTTTCAGAATGCGGTGGTACCTTTGTGACACTTTCTTGGTATTTACTGTAGTGCCTTTTCTATTTGCAGTGGTATCTTTGAACCATAAAAAAATATACTTTTAAACCATTTCCTAAATTGCTGTACCGTTATAGATTACGCAGCGTCTTTTCCTGGACGGTGGCATCTTTTTTTTTTTTTTTTTTGGATATTGGCAGTGACGTAGAAAACAATTCAAGCCGTCCAAATTAGTGTTCTCCAAACGCTTGCTCGGTATTAGCTGCAACACAGCATAAACGTTTTAGCTCTGCTGAATACTTTCACAGTGTTCGTGGCTTGAAGTCTGTTGCTGTGGAGAGCCGTTGCTTTGTTACAGCTTGTAGATTTTATGGTTTTGGCTTGCCATGTTTGAACGTGATGGAAACTCGCTACCCTTAGCATTTGCTTTTCAAGCAGTCCTTAAAAAGGAAAATATCGAAAGCATTCTCTGTAGCTGACGTTGTCAGTAATAGTGCTACCATTTAGGTAACTGCTTTCTTCACCAGTATTGGAGGAAAAGAAGGGAGGGGAAGACGAGGTCCTAACAGTAACTCAGAGTTTTGGCTTCTGTTTGAACAATGAGTGACACAAGATGAAGTTCACAGTACTAGCATCTTCCACGTCTGCATTATAATGCTATGACGCCGTGATCGATCTCTGTGATGAATCGTAGCGAGTTAGGCCATCAATGCAGTCTGCTGTCGCGTTCAGAACGAGGCTGAAAAAAGATGGAAATAAAAGAATGATTTAAAAATGGCATTATTTTGTGTGCCGGGGATGGTGGAACTATGTTATTTGTCGCAATACAGTGAATGGGAGGGACGAGGAGATTTGAACGTGTCTGAGGTCGGCACGAGAATTTTTAGTTTTGCTAAATTGCAGTACGCAATACTGATGACTGTGGTGCTGCACGTAACAATCAAATACATTTTACATATGCACGATCTTCGCAACGTACATCCGTGGGAGAACAAGGCCGTGTATTTGCTCTACTCAGAACTGCTCATCAGTATGTCTTTTGCCCTCAAAAACAATTTAAAATAAAGTGATTTCTGAGCGATTACTCGTAACACTAATAAGAAAGTTGTTATCGTTCTTCTCGACCGGCTGAGTGCGTTACCGTGTTTCAGACTTGCTTTCTCGTTCTCTTGCAGTTTTCATTACAACACAGCTTCCTCAAATGAAAGAAGGAAGCAGTGCACTGTCTTTGTGCAAAAAATTTAGCTTCCAAGCTGAATTTAAACTACACTTGAATATGGAATATCCGTGCAAAATTTCAGCTTGGCAGCTGGTAGCCGGAGTCGCTAGTTCAGCAAATGACTTTGATGTTCAGCTAACTATGGTGCAAGCCCAATTCAAAATTGCATTTAATTGCGTGACTTCCCAGCTAGACGATATATATTCGGACAGAATTACCGCTTTTGTTTTCCGGCCAGTTTTGGACTTAGCTAAGTGCGCATGAGCATTAATTTTAAAATGGGAGGATGACACTTGTGGTGAGAATATGCTCCTGCAGTTCCATTTCCCCAGCTTTCTCGGTTTTTAATTTGAACTGAATGATAAAATTCAGTCGCCTCCGAACAGTACACAGACCGACAACTTTTTAACAACATGCGTTTTTGTATTTGCATAAAGACGCCAAAACTCGTAGAAACTAGGAGTTCCTCCTATCGAATTTACTTCTTTTTACAAAAACTAATTTTACCAAACGGTCCGTGATCCTTCAGTAGCTGTTAAAATCCTGAATTCTTTATCGCTAGCGGAAGCAATCTTCAGAATTCTTCGCATTCTTTCGATAGTAGATTGCTGTTAGTGTATGTCTGGGATATCATCAAAAATTACTTGTTTTGGAGTGAGAGATGGTTCTGTACTTCTCCCGTGCCTTCAGCTTTACCTACAGCTTGCTTACGAAAATTTGATTTTTTTAGCGTGAAATGACAAGAAGGGAAATTTCAGATGGACTTCGCTGTGCACTGTATCTCATTTTTGTGGCAGTTATGATACGGCTGCACACGTTCCCATTGTTCTCTATTCGGCCACTTTACCTTACAATTCGGGCATTCCATAAAGCAGTGAACGATGTTATTCTGTCTAGGCGTGCCATTCATGCGATGAATAATCTGTTTCCGTTGGCTACCGAACAGGAATTGTTGCAGGGTATCCGCATTTTCTTGCATTAGAATGCATACATATTTATTTTCGGCAAGCATTTTTGTTGTTCTTTCAAATTCAATTTAGGTGATAATACATGCATTATTTGCCGCGAGGAGATGACGCCGGTGAGTGGGGCCAAGAAACTGCCATGCAATCATATTTTTCATGCCAGTTGCCTTCGCTCATGGTTTCAGCGGCAGCAAAGCTGTCCCACTTGTCGCACCGATATTTTAAGTTAGTTTGCTTCTGTATTTGCTTTTGTTGAAGATTGTCCTTTTCTGGACGTGCGAAACCATCGTGGATGTTGCACCAGTAATGCTGCTCCAAAACATTTGTGTAGTAGCAGTGAAGGGGAGCGTAATATGAAAAACATTAACCCAGTGACTAATTGGAAAATTGTGACAAAAAAAAAAAATTAAGAATACTCAGAGTATCCAAAAAATGGACCCCAAATTATGCTATGTGATTGGTGTTTTCGTTTAGCTTTACAGTGTTCATAATTAACCGTCGTCAGTAGGCCGCCGCAGTCTCATGTTAACACAGTGGAGTACTGTAATTGATAGCATTAGGGCGGAAGTTCTTCACTTATATCGTGCGATCTTCTCGCTCATTTACGCTTCAAAATGATGTGATGCGCGTTGAATTGTGGCATCATGCCTGTATTTTTGTTTTTAAACGCCGTTCGCGGTTCATAGATTAGTTCCTGTCGAGGAGGTCGTGTAATGATTATATCCCGATCAGATTTGAAGCAAGCTAATTTTAGCGCACAGACGGCCAACTGCAACTGCAGCACCACCAGCCGCCCCAGCAGCCCCTGCAGCTGCTCAAGGAGGTCAGAATGCCGCAGCGCCAGTGGCAAATAATGCAGTGGAAATGCAGAACATGTTCCCGTTCATGGCACAGTTTGCATTTCCTCAACAACCGCAGCAACAGCCACAGCAGCAGCAACAACAGCAGCAGCAGGATGATGGCAGTGCGGATCGGCAACAGTCTACTTCAACTGCTGCTCCACAGGCACCACCCGGTGGCGCAACAGTGCCGCCCTTCTTTCCTCCGCCAGCGGGGTTCCCCTTCATGGTTTGATTTCAACGACTTTTTGTTTGATTTATTTTGAATGTTCTGTGAGGATCTGGCAGTAGTGTCGCGCGCACCAGGAAAATTAAAATCGCTGACGCTTTTCTCATGAAATGTGGATTTTTTATTCAGCTGACTCGAATGCATGTACATCAAAAACTCTCGCAATTGCACTAATGATCAGACTTGCAATCGAAAAGGCAGGAGAAGAAAGGGAGGCTAATTTGCGTAGAAGTCGAAATTGTGCCAGTTCCACTTCAGCTCTGAAACAAATCGGAGGGTTGATTTCCACGACGATGCCTTCACCTCGGTGGTTTACAGTGAGAGCTGGACGCGCAGGCCAACACTGTGAATGGAAAAACACTCTCTGTGGAAAAATAAATGTTTTATTTTAGCCAATTCCGCCATTTCCTGCAACTCCGATGTTTCCATTTCCACCAGTGCCCACATTTGCCGGTCTCACGGATGAGGAGGTTGCTGCCATGGAAGGAACGGAACGCGCAGCCATCGAAGCCCGCATCAGCTGCATTCGTAATATCGGCTTATTACTGGACGCTGCAACTATGCAGTTGCAACAGTACATGAGTGTTGTGCAGTCCCTAAGGTAACATTTTTTACTTTTGCATATCTGCTCTTCGGGAAATAAATTTGACTGTGTGGCTCGGCAACCATCAGCGAAACGAGCAGCGCCCTATCCGTTTTACTTTTTTCAATAATCGTAGTGCTATTTCGGGTGCCTTTTGCTAAGCTTTATTTCTGTAAGACAATGGATGAACAATGACGTGTGACATCACTGTGGTTTTTATGCGTTTTTGCCGTGCAGCACTAGAGCGCTGCAACAGGCAGGAAAAACGCATATTGCAACGACCCTGTCAGTGTGTGTGTGTGTGTATGTTTGTGTGTGTGTGTGTGTTCGTCTGTCCGGGTGTTTCAACTCGCCAACCACGCAAGCTTTGAAGCTGAAGTTTTGGCAGTGTGTTCCCCAGCCAAGTGCCACTCCAAGACCGCGATATCAACTCTCACGCACGTCTGGACCCCGCGTACGAGCATGTGAAGGTTTTGGCGCGAAAATTGCTAACTCGGGAACGAGCAAAGCTAGAAAGCTGAAACCTTGGGGGAATGTTCCCTACAAGTCTGTGAGAAAAAGATTTCAAATTCAGCTGCCCAGGTGTACCCGGGGCTTACGTACGGGCACTTGAAAATTCATAACACGAAGGCGAGAAAAGCTAGAAAGTTGAAATTTTGGGGGAATATTTTCTACTCATGCACGACCAAAAGTTTTCAAACTCAGCTCCTTAAGACTGAGTGGGGTTCACTTACGGGCCCGTGAAAATTTTTGGCGCGAAATTTACTAGCCCGGGAATGGGAAAAGCTGGAAAGCTGAAACTTTAAGGGAGTGTTCCCCACTCATGTACGAGCAAAATCAGGTGTTTAGAAGCATTCGGGGCT